ATCTTACGATTCTCCGCGCAGATAAAGGTAATGCTACGGTTATAATGGATACGTCGGATTACAATTTTAAAATACAACAACTTTTATCGGATGAAAGTACGTACGTAAAGGTCAAAACAGATCCTACAACTAATACGCTTAAAACAACTAGCGATCTAATAAAGAAATACTCCGAGAAACTGAATCTAGACGTAAATTCGATAATACCTACGTGTGCCAAACCGCCGAAGTTGTATGGGTTACCAAAAATAAACAAACCGAACGCTCCATTACGTCCAATAGTGAGTCAGATCGATTCGCCAACTTACAGATTGGCTCAACACTTAGCAAAAGTACTATCACCACTCAGAGGACATACAAGAGCACACACTAAGGATTCATACCATTTTGTCAGTGAGATAAAAGACCTATGTCTTACTGACAATGAAACTATGGTCAGTTTTGATGTTCAGTCTCTATTTACATGCCTACCTGTTGAAGACTGCATCTCAATTATAACTAGGAAACTAGAGGAAAACAACATGCCAGCAGAATATGCAGTATTACTCAGACATTGCCTTACATCTGGCTACCTATTGTGGAAGGAACAGTTTTACAAGCAAGTAGATGGTGTTGCGATGGGCTCACCGGTATCTCCCATTGTCGCCGATATTTTCATGGAGGACTTTGAGGAGAAAGCCCTGCTTACTGCACCAGTAACTCCAAGTTTCTACAAGCGGTACGTAGACGATACTTTCACAATTTTACCATCAGACAAAGTAACTGCATTTTTAGAACATCTTAATTCCATAAACTCTAAAATTCAATTTACTATGGAGTTAGAGGCAAATAATTCTTTAGCTTTCCTAGATGTGTTAGTCATTCGAAATCCTAATAACACCGTAGGTCACACTGTGTATAGAAAAAAGACCCATACAAACCGATACTTAAACGGTGAATCCCACCATCACCCTTCACAGTTAGCTACCGTGGGCAAATCTTTGTTGCAGAGAGCACGAGGGATCTGTGACAGCAAACACCTGGCCGCCGAGCTTCAGCACGTCAAGCAGGTTCTGCACGACAACAAGCTTCGGGTTCCGCGCCTACGTCACAGTGACCGAGTGAAGCCGGCCACAGTCGAGCGTGTGCCTGCTGTACTACCATATGTCAGAGGTGTCACAGACAAGATTGGCTACATCTTGAAGCGAGCTTCTATTAGAACATTCTTCAAGCCGCCGAAGAAGATTAGTCAGTTCTTACCATCCGTCAAGTGCAATATTCCTCTACAAGATGCAGGAGTATACAAGCTTGATTGTGAGTGTGGTCTCTCATATATAGGGCAAACAAAACGATCAATAAAAACCCGCGTAAAAGAACACATAGCTGACGTGAAGCACCAACGTTCCGGGAAGTCTGCAGTTTGTGATCATATCCTAGACGGCCCCCGTCATTACATTAGATTTGATAAACCACAAGTCCTCGCGAAAGAACATCGATTCCTGCCAAGGATGATACGTGAGGCTATTGAAATTAAAAAACATCCTAATTTCAATAGAGAGGGAGGCTGGGTACTACCACCTGCTTGGGATCCTGTAATTCATAAAATTAAAACTAAACCCAAGCATACCACTGTAAGACTTCAAGACACAGTTAGTTCATTCTGCGTAGATCGGACCAAAATTAATAATTAAAAAGCTGAAGGTACTCCGGGTTAACTTTGACATCGGGACGTCAATCACCTCAGTCCCCCGTGACCACGGTTGCTGGAAAGCAACCGAAACGTCGGGAATATAAAATAAGTAAATTAAACGCGATAAAATCCGTAAAAATAGTTTTATTCAATGTGTAGTGTTCGCGTAAATATAAGAAATCATTGTGTAAACCAGTACGGACTGGAAATAGCAAATAAAATACGCCGACTAGAAGATCTCAAAACCAAGCGCGCAAGATACATAACAGCTTTAAACTTCTTGAAGAGATGCAGAGACCATAATCTCATTCCTACGTGTGTCAAGATATCTACTAAAAAAGACATTCGAGGAAGCGCTAAGATCTTAAATCAGGCAAGCAAAAAATTGTTAATAACGGTGATTCAGCAAAAACGTACCGATCTATGTTTCATTAATAAAACCATAGACAAATCGTCCAGTGATCTAAAGACAGTTTTATCGACATTTGATTATAAGAATTGCATGGAAACTTTAGACAAACGTGAAACAACTAAATACAATGAATGCAAAAATAAACATATAGATAAATACCAAAAACTAACAACCAAATCAAATGTCCAACGCCAATGTCAACGTAATAACGGAACGCAATCATTGACAACAGACGCGAGTAATAAACAACGTGCGGTCTATAACCTGTCAAAACAATCTCTAGACGACGCGACGATAAAAGTTTTGGCCAAAGGTATGAATTTCGCTATAACACCGCGAAAAATTCCGTATGAAAACATTATCTGTAGTGTTGAGGACTGTCTGTATAAAAATAATATTGGTAAAGAAGATTTAGAGGCTATACGTCAAGACATTTCGTCCTTGTTACGTCGAAGCTCAGCGCCAAAATTAAATCTTCCCAAAGATGAATTTACTGCATTGAAAAACTTACGCAACAGACCAGATCTTACGATTCTCCGCGCAGATAAAGGTAATGCTACGGTTATAATGGATACGTCGGATTACAATTTTAAAATACAACAACTTTTATCGGATGAAAGTACGTACGTAAAGGTCAAAACAGATCCTACAACTAATACGCTTAAAACAACTAGCGATCTAATAAAGAAATACTCCGAGAAACTGAATCTAGACGTAAATTCGATAATACCTACGTGTGCCAAACCGCCGAAGTTGTATGGGTTACCAAAAATACACAAACCGAACGCTCCATTACGTCCAATAGTGAGTCAGATCGATTCGCCAACTTACAGATTGGCTCAACACTTAGCAAAAGTACTATCACCACTCAGAGGACATACAAGAGCACACACTAAGGATTCATACCATTTTGTCAGTGAGATAAAAGACCTATGTCTTACTGACAATGAAACTATGGTCAGTTTTGATGTTCAGTCTCTATTTACATGCCTACCTGTTGAAGACTGCATCTCAATTATAACTAGGAAACTAGAGGAAAACAACATGCCAGCAGAATATGCAGTATTACTCAGACATTGCCTTACATCTGGCTACCTATTGTGGAAGGAACAGTTTTACAAGCAAGTAGATGGTGTTGCGATGGGCTCACCGGTATCTCCCATTGTCGCCGATAGTTTCATGGAGGACTTTGAGGAGAAAGCCCTGCTTACTGCACCAGTAACTCCAAGTTTCTACAAGCGGTACGTAGACGATACTTTCACAATTTTACCATCAGACAAAGTAACTGCATTTTTAGAACATCTTAATTCCATAAACTCTAAAATTCAATTTACTATGGAGTTAGAGGCAAATAATTCTTTAGCTTTCCTAGATGTGTTAGTCATTCGAAATCCTAATAACACCGTAGGTCACACTGTGTATAGAAAAAAGACCCATACAAACCGATACTTAAACGGTGAATCCCACCATCACCCTTCACAGTTAGCTACCGTGGGCAAATCTTTGTTGCAGAGAGCACGAGGGATCTGTGACAGCAAACACTTGGCCGCCGAGCTTCAGCACGTCAAGCAGGTTCTGCACGACAACAAGCTTCGGGTTCCGCGCCTACGTCACAGTGACCGAGTGAAGCCGGCCACAGTCGAGCGTGTGCCTGCTGTACTACCATATGTCAGAGGTGTCACAGACAAGATTGGCTACATCTTGAAGCGAGCTTCTATTAGAACATTCTTCAAGCCGCCGAAGAAGATTAGTCAGTTCTTACCATCCGTCAAGTGCAATATTCCTCTACAAGATGCAGGAGTATACAAGCTTGATTGTGAGTGTGGTCTCTCATATATAGGGCAAACAAAACGATCAATAAAAACCCGCGTAAAAGAACACATAGCTGACGTGAAGCACCAACGTTCCGGGAAGTCTGCAGTTTGTGATCATATCCTAGACGGCCCCCGTCATTACATTAGATTTGATAAACCACAAGTCCTCGCGAAAGAACATCGATTCCTGCCAAGGATGATACGTGAGGCTATTGAAATTAAAAAACATCCTAATTTCAATAGAGAGGGAGGCTGGGTACTACCACCTGCTTGGGATCCTGTAATTCATAAAATTAAAACTAAACCCAAGCATACCACTGTAAGACTTCAAGACACAGTTAGTTCATTCTACGTAGATCGGACCAAAATTAATAATTAAAAAGCTGAAGGTACTCCGGGTTAACTTTGACATCGGGACGTCAATCACCTCAGTCCCCCGTGACCACGGTTGCTGGAAAGCAACCGAAACGTCGGGAATATAAAATAAGTAAATTAAACGCGATAAAATCCGTAAAAATAGTTTTATTCAATGTGTAGTGTTCGCGTAAATATAAGAAATCATTGTGTAAACCAGTACGGACTGGAAATAGCAAATAAAATACGCCGACTAGAAGATCTCAAAACCAAGCGCGCAAGATACATAACAGCTTTAAACTTCTTGAAGAGATGCAGAGACCATAATCTCATTCCTACGTGTGTCAAGATATCTACTAAAAAAGACATTCGAGGAAGCGCTAAGATCTTAAATCAGGCAAGCAAAAAATTGTTAATAACGGTGATTCAGCAAAAACGTACCGATCTATGTTTCATTAATAAAACCATAGACAAATCGTCCAGTGATCTAAAGACAGTTTTATCGACATTTGATTATAAGAATTGCATGGAAACTTTAGACAAACGTGAAACAACTAAATACAATGAATGCAAAAATAAACATATAGATAAATACCAAAAACTAACAACCAAATCAAATGTCCAACGCCAATGTCAACGTAATAACGGAACGCAATCATTGACAACAGACGCGAGTAATAAACAACGTGCGGTCTATAACCTGTCAAAACAATCTCTAGACGACGCGACGATAAAAGTTTTGGCCAAAGGTATGAATTTCGCTATAACACCGCGAAAAATTCCGTATGAAAACATTATCTGTAGTGTTGAGGACTGTCTGTATAAAAATAATATTGGTAAAGAAGATTTAGAGGCTATACGTCAAGACATTTCGTCCTTGTTACGTCGAAGCTCAGCGCCAAAATTAAATCTTCCCAAAGATGAATTTACTGCATTGAAAAACTTACGCAACAGACCAGATCTTACGATTCTCCGCGCAGATAAAGGTAATGCTACGGTTATAATGGATACGTCGGATTACAATTTTAAAATACAACAACTTTTATCGGATGAAAGTACGTACGTAAAGGTCAAAACAGATCCTACAACTAATACGCTTAAAACAACTAGCGATCTAATAAAGAAATACTCCGAGAAACTGAATCTAGACGTAAATTCGATAATACCTACGTGTGCCAAACCGCCGAAGTTGTATGGGTTACCAAAAATACACAAACCGAACGCTCCATTACGTCCAATAGTGAGTCAGATCGATTCGCCAACTTACAGATTGGCTCAACACTTAGCAAAAGTACTATCACCACTCAGAGGACATACAAGAGCACACACTAAGGATTCATACCATTTTGTCAGTGAGATAAAAGACCTATGTCTTACTGACAATGAAACTATGGTCAGTTTTGATGTTCAGTCTCTATTTACATGCCTACCTGTTGAAGACTGCATCTCAATTATAACTAGGAAACTAGAGGAAAACAACATGCCAGCAGAATATGCAGTATTACTCAGACATTGCCTTACATCTGGCTACCTATTGTGGAAGGAACAGTTTTACAAGCAAGTAGATGGTGTTGCGATGGGCTCACCGGTATCTCCCATTGTCGCCGATATTTTCATGGAGGACTTTGAGGAGAAAGCCCTGCTTACTGCACCAGTAACTCCAAGTTTCTACAAGCGGTACGTAGACGATACTTTCACAATTTTACCATCAGACAAAGTAACTGCATTTTTAGAACATCTTAATTCCATAAACTCTAAAATTCAATTTACTATGGAGTTAGAGGCAAATAATTCTTTAGCTTTCCTAGATGTGTTAGTCATTCGAAATCCTAATAACACCGTAGGTCACACTGTGTATAGAAAAAAGACCCATACAAACCGATACTTAAACGGTGAATCCCACCATCACCCTTCACAGTTAGCTACCGTGGGCAAATCTTTGTTGCAGAGAGCACGAGGGATCTGTGACAGCAAACACCTGGCCGCCGAGCTTCAGCACGTCAAGCAGGTTCTGCACGACAACAAGCTTCGGGTTCCGCGCCTACGTCACAGTGACCGAGTGAAGCCGGCCACAGTCGAGCGTGTGCCTGCTGTACTACCATATGTCAGAGGTGTCACAGACAAGATTGGCTACATCTTGAAGCGAGCTTCTATTAGAACATTCTTCAAGCCGCCGAAGAAGATTAGTCAGTTCTTACCATCCGTCAAGTGCAATATTCCTCTACAAGATGCAGGAGTATACAAGCTTGATTGTGAGTGTGGTCTCTCATATATAGGGCAAACAAAACGATCAATAAAAACCCGCGTAAAAGAACACATAGCTGACGTGAAGCACCAACGTTCCGGGAAGTCTGCAGTTTGTGATCATATCCTAGACGGCCCCCGTCATTACATTAGATTTGATAAACCACAAGTCCTCGCGAAAGAACATCGATTCCTGCCAAGGATGATACGTGAGGCTATTGAAATTAAAAAACATCCTAATTTCAATAGAGAGGGAGGCTGGGTACTACCACCTGCTTGGGATCCTGTAATTCATAAAATTAAAACTAAACCCAAGCATACCACTGTAAGACTTCAAGACACAGTTAGTTCATTCTGCGTAGATCGGACCAAAATTAATAATTAAAAAGCTGAAGGTACTCCGGGTTAACTTTGACATCGGGACGTCAATCACCTCAGTCCCCCGTGACCACGGTTGCTGGAAAGCAACCGAAACGTCGGGAATATAAAATAAGTAAATTAAACGCGATAAAATCCGTAAAAATAGTTTTATTCAATGTGTAGTGTTCGCGTAAATATAAGAAATCATTGTGTAAACCAGTACGGACTGGAAATAGCAAATAAAATACGCCGACTAGAAGATCTCAAAACCAAGCGCGCAAGATACATAACAGCTTTAAACTTCTTGAAGAGATGCAGAGACCATAATCTCATTCCTACGTGTGTCAAGATATCTACTAAAAAAGACATTCGAGGAAGCGCTAAGATCTTAAATCAGGCAAGCAAAAAAATTGTTAATAACGGTGATTCAGCAAAAACGTACCGATCTATGTTTCATTAATAAAACCATAGACAAATCGTCCAGTGATCTAAAGACAGTTTTATCGACATTTGATTATAAGAATTGCATGGAAACTTTAGACAAACGTGAAACAACTAAATACAATGAATGCAAAAATAAACATATAGATAAATACCAAAAACTAACAACCAAATCAAATGTCCAACGCCAATGTCAACGTAATAACGGAACGCAATCATTGACAACAGACGCGAGTAATAAACAACGTGCGGTCTATAACCTGTCAAAACAATCTCTAGACGACGCGACGATAAAAGTTTTGGCCAAAGGTATGAATTTCGCTATAACACCGCGAAAAATTCCGTATGAAAACATTATCTGTAGTGTTGAGGACTGTCTGTATAAAAATAATATTGGTAAAGAAGATTTAGAGGCTATACGTCAAGACATTTCGTCCTTGTTACGTCGAAGCTCAGCGCCAAAATTAAATCTTCCCAAAGATGAATTTACTGCATTGAAAAACTTACGCAACAGACCAGATCTTACGATTCTCCGCGCAGATAAAGGTAATGCTACGGTTATAATGGATACGTCGGATTACAATTTTAAAATACAACAACTTTTATCGGATGAAAGTACGTACGTAAAGGTCAAAACAGATCCTACAACTAATACGCTTAAAACAACTAGCGATCTAATAAAGAAATACTCCGAGAAACTGAATCTAGACGTAAATTCGATAATACCTACGTGTGCCAAACCGCCGAAGTTGTATGGGTTACCAAAAATACACAAACCGAACGCTCCATTACGTCCAATAGTGAGTCAGATCGATTCGCCAACTTACAGATTGGCTCAACACTTAGCAAAAGTACTATCACCACTCAGAGGACATACAAGAGCACACACTAAGGATTCATACCATTTTGTCAGTGAGATAAAAGACCTATGTCTTACTGACAATGAAACTATGGTCAGTTTTGATGTTCAGTCTCTATTTACATGCCTACCTGTTGAAGACTGCATCTCAATTATAACTAGGAAACTAGAGGAAAACAACATGCCAGCAGAATATGCAGTATTACTCAGACATTGCCTTACATCTGGCTACCTATTGTGGAAGGAACAGTTTTACAAGCAAGTAGATGGTGTTGCGATGGGCTCACCGGTATCTCCCATTGTCGCCGATATTTTCATGGAGGACTTTGAGGAGAAAGCCCTGCTTACTGCACCAGTAACTCCAAGTTTCTACAAGCGGTACGTAGACGATACTTTCACAATTTTACCATCAGACAAAGTAACTGCATTTTTAGAACATCTTAATTCCATAAACTCTAAAATTCAATTTACTATGGAGTTAGAGGCAAATAATTCTTTAGCTTTCCTAGATGTGTTAGTCATTCGAAATCCTAATAACACCGTAGGTCACACTGTGTATAGAAAAAAGACCCATACAAACCGATACTTAAACGGTGAATCCCACCATCACCCTTCACAGTTAGCTACCGTGGGCAAATCTTTGTTGCAGAGAGCACGAGGGATCTGTGACAGCAAACACCTGGCCGCCGAGCTTCAGCACGTCAAGCAGGTTCTGCACGACAACAAGCTTCGGGTTCCGCGCCTACGTCACAGTGACCGAGTGAAGCCGGCCACAGTCGAGCGTGTGCCTGCTGTACTACCATATGTCAGAGGTGTCACAGACAAGATTGGCTACATCTTGAAGCGAGCTTCTATTAGAACATTCTTCAAGCCGCCGAAGAAGATTAGTCAGTTCTTACCATCCGTCAAGTGCAATATTCCTCTACAAGATGCAGGAGTATACAAGCTTGATTGTGAGTGTGGTCTCTCATATATAGGGCAAACAAAACGATCAATAAAAACCCGCGTAAAAGAACACATAGCTGACGTGAAGCACCAACGTTCCGGGAAGTCTGCAGTTTGTGATCATATCCTAGACGGCCCCCGTCATTACATTAGATTTGATAAACCACAAGTCCTCGCGAAAGAACATCGATTCCTGCCAAGGATGATACGTGAGGCTATTGAAATTAAAAAACATCCTAATTTCAATAGAGAGGGAGGCTGGGTACTACCACCTGCTTGGGATCCTGTAATTCATAAAATTAAAACTAAACCCAAGCATACCACTGTAAGACTTCAAGACACAGTTAGTTCATTCTGCGTAGATCGGACCAAAATTAATAATTAAAAAGCTGAAGGTACTCCGGGTTAACTTTGACATCGGGACGTCAATCACCTCAGTCCCCCGTGACCACGGTTGCTGGAAAGCAACCGAAACGTCGGGAATATAAAATAAGTAAATTAAACGCGATAAAATCCGTAAAAATAGTTTTATTCAATGTGTAGTGTTCGCGTAAATATAAGAAATCATTATGTAAACCAGTACGGACTGGAAATAGCAAATAAAATACGCCGACTAGAAGATCTCAAAACCAAGCGCGCAAGATACATAACAGCTTTAAACTTCTTGAAGAGATGCAGAGACCATAATCTCATTCCTACGTGTGTCAAGATATCTACTAAAAAAGACATTCGAGGAAGCGCTAAGATCTTAAATCAGGCAAGCAAAAAAATTGTTAATAACGGTGATTCAGCAAAAACGTACCGATCTATGTTTCATTAATAAAACCATAGACAAATCGTCCAGTGATCTAAAGACAGTTTTATCGACATTTGATTATAAGAATTGCATGGAAACTTTAGACAAACGTGAAACAACTAAATACAATGAATGCAAAAATAAACATATAGATAAATACCAAAAACTAACAACCAAATCAAATGTCCAACGCCAATGTCAACGTAATAACGGAACGCAATCATTGACAACAGACGCGAGTAATAAACAACGTGCGGTCTATAACCTGTCAAAACAATCTCTAGACGACGCGACGATAAAAGTTTTGGCCAAAGGTATGAATTTCGCTATAACACCGCGAAAAATTCCGTATGAAAACATTATCTGTAGTGTTGAGGACTGTCTGTATAAAAATAATATTGGTAAAGAAGATTTAGAGGCTATACGTCAAGACATTTCGTCCTTGTTACGTCGAAGCTCAGCGCCAAAATTAAATCTTCCCAAAGATGAATTTACTGCATTGAAAAACTTACGCAACAGACCAGATCTTACGATTCTCCGCGCAGATAAAGGTAATGCTACGGTTATAATGGATACGTCGGATTACAATTTTAAAATACAACAACTTTTATCGGATGAAAGTACGTACGTAAAGGTCAAAACAGATCCTACAACTAATACGCTTAAAACAACTAGCGATCTAATAAAGAAATACTCCGAGAAACTGAATCTAGACGTAAATTCGATAATACCTACGTGTGCCAAACCGCCGAAGTTGTATGGGTTACCAAAAATACACAAACCGAACGCTCCATTACGTCCAATAGTGAGTCAGATCGATTCGCCAACTTACAGATTGGCTCAACACTTAGCAAAAGTACTATCACCACTCAGAGGACATACAAGAGCACACACTAAGGATTCATACCATTTTGTCAGTGAGATAAAAGACCTATGTCTTACTGACAATGAAACTATGGTCAGTTTTGATGTTCAGTCTCTATTTACATGCCTACCTGTTGAAGACTGCATCTCAATTATAACTAGGAAACTAGAGGAAAACAACATGCCAGCAGAATATGCAGTATTACTCAGACATTGCCTTACATCTGGCTACCTATTGTGGAAGGAACAGTTTTACAAGCAAGTAGATGGTGTTGCGATGGGCTCACCGGTATCTCCCATTGTCGCCGATATTTTCATGGAGGACTTTGAGGAGAAAGCCCTGCTTACTGCACCAGTAACTCCAAGTTTCTACAAGCGGTACGTAGACGATACTTTCACAATTTTACCATCAGACAAAGTAACTGCATTTTTAGAACATCTTAATTCCATAAACTCTAAAATTCAATTTACTATGGAGTTAGAGGCAAATAATTCTTTAGCTTTCCTAGATGTGTTAGTCATTCGAAATCCTAATAACACCGTAGGTCACACTGTGTATAGAAAAAAGACCCATACAAACCGATACTTAAACGGTGAATCCCACCATCACCCTTCACAGTTAGCTACCGTGGGCAAATCTTTGTTGCAGAGAGCACGAGGGATCTGTGACAGCAAACACCTGGCCGCCGAGCTTCAGCACGTCAAGCAGGTTCTGCACGACAACAAGCTTCGGGTTCCGCGCCTACGTCACAGTGACCGAGTGAAGCCGGCCACAGTCGAGCGTGTGCCTGCTGTACTACCATATGTCAGAGGTGTCACAGACAAGATTGGCTACATCTTGAAGCGAGCTTCTATTAGAACATTCTTCAAGCCGCCGAAGAAGATTAGTCAGTTCTTACCATCCGTCAAGTGCAATATTCCTCTACAAGATGCAGGAGTATACAAGCTTGATTGTGAGTGTGGTCTCTCATATATAGGGCAAACAAAACGATCAATAAAAACCCGCGTAAAAGAACACATAGCTGACGTGAAGCACCAACGTTCCGGGAAGTCTGCAGTTTGTGATCATATCCTAGACGGCCCCCGTCATTACATTAGATTTGATAAACCACAAGTCCTC